TTTTTGGTTGCAGCCATCATTGTTTGGCAGGCTTGGGCTGGATGCGAACCCGCTACCTTAGGTGTATGTGGCTGGCGCCCTAGCCACTTGAGCCACAGGCGCCGAGCCATTTCTGTATTTCTTATTTGAAAAGTATAATTACACTATGAAAGCCATGATTTAACAGAAACATTTCAAAATCTTGAATTAATGGACTAAAAACTAGCAAGTAGATGATACGACAGTAGTGCTCACTAAGAATTTTTTGAAATCTTCATTGAATTTAGTTTTTAAGCCTAATCATCAATAACTTGGTTTGAAAAAGCAAAGTGCTATTAAGTGCTTTAATAATTAACATAACATACATTTAAAATGCATGATAAAAATCTTGAGGCACACTCAAAATAGTAGAGAAGGCATACATATAAACAAAAAATAATCAATGTAAATAAAACATAGCTTGTATTAAATATGTAAACTTACTCATTTGAAAACTATTAGGAAAAAGGGACTAATTCTTGTCAGAGGGGAATATTTTAGGCTCCCTGAGGACACAGAACCCCATTTGATCGTTTAGCTAGAGGAGCAAGGGTGGTCTAGAGAAAAGTAAATAGTTTATGAGTCAATATGACCTCTTAGGTTGGTTTCCACTAGGGATGCCTAATCAGTACCGCCATCCCCCCCCATCCATTCCTTTAGGCTTCTGAAGTCCTACACACACAGAGCTTAACACATCCATCATCTTGTCAAGCTATGGAAATCTCTGAGTGTGAGTAGTTTAACTTCACATTCCCAATGCTTGGTAGAGAAATGGTAGGTATTCAATAAATGCTTATAAAAAGAGGGAAAAACATAGGCTTAAGGACTGTTCAAATGTAAAAGAGAAAGTGTGTTTTTTAGGTGCAGGTCAATTTTCCAATGCAGGCAAAGAAGGAGGGTAAGCAAAAGAGTCAGTAAGCAGAAGGGTACCCTGTAAATGCGTATGTTCAGGGGAATAATAACCTGGAAGAATATTTTTCCTTTATTTTTGAAGATAAACAGAAGCGTCAAAATGGTTCTCAGCAAGCTAATCATGTATTATTATCTTTGAAAGGAACAGAAGAAAAATTCAATACATGTAATTACTCATCAATGGAATCATTCTCAGCTAGACTACTAAAGAAACCCAAATGAGGTGGTCCATCAAGGTGAGAGCAGAAGAAAGATTTCTAACATTGAGGAATAATGAGAACAAGCTAGAACTTAGGTTGTAGAAATGGAATATAATTAACATGAGAGTCTACCTGGAATCTTTCTTAATGGTATTTTACCTTCATATCAAATGTGAAAATGTACAGAAATCTATTTTACTCAATATTTATTGATTTACTTAAATTAGGAGATATGGCTTATAGAAATGCAGGAATCCACTCAATACTCTATTATCATTACTTTGAGTTAGTCTGGTCCAAGTATAAATTCAATGTTCTTGGTCAGTACTTTGAACTCCAATTAGAGATTGTGTAGTCAAGAACTTGAATCAAAAAGAAATAGCTAGGAAAAGCTTTCAAAGATATGCCATTCCTTTCTACTACAGGTATAAAGTCAACCACTTTGACTATTTACCAAGGAGCTGAAAAAGAGAAACTGCTTTTGATTGAACAATACTTAGCTGTTAATTAAGGGAGAAGGCATTTTCTACCATAATCTCATAGCACAATTAGCAACAACTGTCAATTTTATTTTAAGAAAGCAGCAATATGCAACAGAAAAGATTTCAAGTCATTCACTAAGTCAAATGACAGCTCTGCTGAGGTCTTGCAAACTACTAAGGTTATCTGCTTGGTCATGAAAGTTCTTTATTCTTCTGAGCCTTTGTTTGAAGACTATGGTGTTTGGAATGGGTATCTTACAGGAGTTTGTGAGGATTAAATCCAACAATATATTTAAAAATGAATTACCGAAACATCAAAGTTAGTTCTCCCTCACTCCTTTCACCATCTTTTAGATTAAAAAAAAAAATGGATATACTCAATCACTATCTTTTAATATATTATAGTACTATAAGGTTCAGCTAGCTCTGGTTTCATAATTTGTATTCCTATGTACTTAAAATTAATTTCCACTCTTTCTACAATGGGAAAAAATATAAAAATATTATAATCTGAGAAAAGTATGGTGAAGTAAAAACAGAAACTTGTAGAAAATTACCAGCTTCTCTCAACACTATTGACAACCCACTGCAGGCCTTTCTTGGTATCTCCTCCATTTTCATTAGATGTCGCAAGAATGCTTGTGACCTGAGCATTAGTGTCACTATCCCTGACCTCAATGATTATTTTTTTGGTCTCATAGACGTTGTTTGACTCCAATAAGCATCCATCAATATTCAAAGTTCCTATTCCTACATAAAGGAACTTTAATTGCAGGGATTACATGGAATTTACAAGTTCTAACTAAGCAAAAAGAATAAGCTGCTTTTTAGATTAAGATGGCAGATTTAACATACATATTTCTCTCTCAAGCTACTAAGCTACCTAAATGAGTTTTTTAAAAAGCATAAATCAACAAAAATGAGGACTTCAAGGAGAAAATAGTAGAAGATGAAGCAAATGTAAATTGGTAACTGACTCAGAACCCTACGTAGTCCAACCCTAAACCAGGGTAAACACTGGGTAATCACCAATTGCGAACCCCTCCAAGGACCTGCAGACTGGCATGTCAGGTGCCTCAGGAGCTGAGGATAAAGAAGGCAGCTAAAACAGGAGCAATGGCTCTTGGGTCACTAGATTTCTACCACTTACTCCTGGCAGGTGCAGTTCACAGAAAATGTGGAATAACAGACCATCTCCAGAATTGAGTGATCCCATTTTCTTCGTGCACTGGACTTCCCCAAACCTGGCAGTGAGCCCCGTAACTACTTGGAAAAAGATTGGAAGACTCTTCTCTGAAGAATCTGGCAAGCCCACGGGAAATATATTGACATGGAGCTGGCCCACCCCTGACATTCATAAAGCCCAAAGCAAAAACATAAGGTCTGAATTTCATATACCATGTTTCCCCAAAAATAAGACACTGTCTTATATTTATTTTTTCCCAAGAAGACACACTAGGGCTTATTTTCAGGGTATGTCTTCCTCTCCACGCTGTAATGCATGGCATGGCTATGCAGACATGCTACATAGCCACACCCATCACTAGGTCTTATTATGGGGGTAGGGCTTATATTTAACAAATGCATAGAAATTCTGCTAGGGCTTATTTTTGGTGTAGGTCTTATTTTCAGGGAATCACAGTATCTATGTATTTATCATTTTAAAGTGAAGTTCCTAAACTCTTAAATATGCCCAGTTTTCCTACTTTGATTAATACATAGCATTCTTTGTAATAACCTGAATGAGGTGTTGAAATCCAAAATTCTTATACTTCATGGAGTTAGAAGACAAAACTGCAATGTTTGCAGCCAGACCGCTTTCTCTTTCCATTTCCTGGCTCCATCCAAAGCACTGAGGCCATGTGCATATGTATACAAATATTCCAGCCCTGACCTCCAAGCCCACACAAACAGCTGCCACGAGGGGCCGTAGTCTTATGCCCATTATTTTTGCATCCTAGGAGACCAGGCCAGAAGAGGCCTCTGCAGACCCTGGAGGTGGGCTTCGGGCTATTATGTCAGGGATTCTAAGAACCCGCAGAATAGTCTAAAAGGGGATAGAGCCCTGGATGAGCTCTTGTCCTTCACATTCTAGACACAACATCCCCCAAAGCAGGGCAAAGCCAGAAGACAGCCATAGTGGGCCACCCACATCTGAGGCACCTCTCATGCTGGTCTAGGGGAAGCAGTGACAGTATTCCCCCACAGTCATTCCCCCCTATTTCCCCTACACAAAAACGTGAAGTTAATAAGCTTCACCTATGAGCTCAGAACATCTAGTCAGCTTTTACATTTCTTACTTTCAGTAATGAGCAGAAATGCAAGAATGATCACAAAAATTGAGAAATCCTCTAATATAGAAGCTAGGGACAAAAAGAAAAATAGAGTAAAATGTAACTTGCAAGTAGGAAAAAGCTTTTAACAATATCTTTAATATACTCAGACAATTAAGAGAAAATGGTCCACCTGTGAAAGGATGATAATATTAAAAGAGAGAAAGAGTG